AGGGGTGGCGATGCTCTGCAGGGCTTGGTCCAGAGGTGGGGTTCGATGGGGAAGCAGGTGGCAGCAGGGAAAAGGAGGACAGGAGACACAGCATCTGCACAAGAGACTCAAAGATGGGCCTGCCAGCAGTGGCAATAAGTTGACAACATCTCTGGTCTGACAGCTAGTCGGAGAGGCTCTGTGGCGGTTCCTCCCGCCAGCCGCACCACAGGGTCACACTGACGGGTCCGGTTGGTCCCCATCCCCACCGCTCTGCCAGACGCATTCCCATGCACACTGACTCCCGCATCCGCTCCGCCTCATCTTCAGGCCGTGGGCATCCGCTTCATCAGCTTCCGGAACGAGCAGTCGGCTGGGTACGCGGCGGCGGCCGCCGGCTACCTCTCTGGCATCCCCGGCGTCCTGCTGACGGTGTCCGGGCCAGGCGTCATCCACGCCCTGGCGGGGCTCAGCCATGCCCAGGTCAACACCTGGCCCCTTGTGCTGCTGTCGGGGTCCTGCGAGACTGGCGAGGTGGGCAAGGGCTCCTTCCAGGAGCTGGACCAGGTGGCGGCGGTGCGGCCCTACACCAAGTTTGCGGGTCAGGCGCGGGCGGTGGGCGAGATCCCCGCCGTCCTGGAGGCCGCCTTCAAGGTGACAGGAGGGTTGGAGGAGGGGTCTGGTTGGGTCTGGATGGGGGGGCCACGTGGCCTTTGGGGTCAGATCAGTGAGAAGTCAGAACGCTTCCAACCAGAGCAGACGGGTGCGCGGGCGCCCAGGCCAGGGCGCCCGCGCCTTCGGCGCCCCAGATCCCTCGCACACCGCGCCCCTCCCTCCTGTCCGACTCCCATCCCACACGACCACCCCACGCATGCAGGCGGCGGTGAGCGGGCGCCCCGGCGGCGCCTATGTGGACGTCCCCTCCGACGTGCTCATGGCCCCAGCCCCGGCCGGCCCGGCTCCCCCGCCGCCGGCGGAGGAGGCCCGCCCCGCGCGCCCGGCCGCGCCCGCCGCCGACGTGGCCGCCGCGGCCAGATTGCTCGCCGGCGCCCGGCGCCCGCTCCTCGTGGTGGGCAAGGGCGCGGCCTGGGCGCGGGCGGAGGGCCCGCTGCGCGCACTGGCCAGCGGCGCGGGGCTGCCGGCCCTGGGCACGGCCATGGGGCGGGGGGTGGTGCCCGACACGTACGAGCACAGCGCCAACGCGGCACGGTCCCTGGCGCTGGCCGGCGCCGACGTGGCGCTGGTCTTCGGCGCGCGCCTCAACTGGCAGCTGCACTTTGGCGAGGCGCCCAAGTGGGCCGCCAACGTCAAGTTCGTGCTGGTGGACGTGGAGCCGTCGGAGCGTGACGCGCGCGTCAGCCACGTCGTCCTGCGCGGCGACGCCGGCGTGGTCGCCGGGCAGCTCCTGGATGCACTCCAAGGTTGGGGGGGGCAAGGAAGGGGCTTGGGAGTGGGTGTTGCTTTGGTGGTGCGACGGGGGGTGGGGAGGGGAAAAGGGCTGGATGGACGCGGCGGGACCTGGGCAGGCGGATGGCGCGCGGGGTCCGAAACACGACTGTCGCAATGGAGTGTGAGCAGGCGACACCCCGCTCCCCCTGGCACCCCTACGCCCTCGTCGAAGCCGCGCTCTCCCGCGGGTTCAAGTCTACCTGTCCCCTGCGCAGTTTCCTCCTCTCTTCCCAACTCCACCCACCCAAGCCCACCCCCACTCAATGTCCCCACCCACCCCACTCAATACCTCCCCCAAACCCACTCAATACCTTCCCCAAACCCACTCAATACCTCCCCCAAACCCACTCAATACCTCCCCCAAACCCACTCAATACCTCCCCCAAACCACTCAATACCTCCCCAAACCACTCAATCCTCCCCCAACCCCACTCAATCCCTCCCCCCCCCCCACCCACACCAC